GCCGGCAAACAGGGACAACAAATGGGCTACAGAGGCAGTTCAGTCAATAAAGTGCTTGCCTTGCAAGGGTGAAGACCTGAATTCAATTTCCAGAATTCATGTAAAAAATCAAACCTAAAGGCAGAAAAACACTCAGAATATTGCTCTAAAGCAATTCAGTGATGCAGTAGAGTTTGCTAGAAAGAAGGCTAAGCAAATGAAAGTATATTCAACAACCCCTTAAAAGCTGTAATGTAAAAGAAAGAATCAAAAGCAAACCTGACAGGTGAATTGAGGCAGATAAGCATAAGGAACAGCTTAGCAACCTGGGACTCCACTTGGTATGGGTTACATACACAGCCCTCTCCTAGCAAAGTACTTGGCAACCTAGGATCCTCATTTGTATGTACTATGTACACATACCCCTCTCCTAATAATGCACCTAGTAGCTTAGCACCCCCTCTTGCATCAAGCTGCTCTTACATTCAACTCTGAACCAATGGAATAAGTCTCTTCTCCCTTAACAACCAACAGTATTTAATCCTACTCTGGCTATATCTGGGTACAAGGTTAGGAGGTATGATCCAGCCTGAACAAGTTTTGATACATGAACAATAAGGCAGCGGTGTCTTCTGAGTGAAATTTTAGGAAGAATCCTCTATTTACCATCTTATGCCCATGATAATTAGGAATGCATATAATTAAAAATCAGAAGCATCCTGAGAAGGGATATGTGCAGTGAGCAAAGACATAATCTAAGCCTGTCAATCAAAACAAAGAACTGCCTACACGATGCTCCTTAGCAACCAAACTCTTCCTCCTCTTGACCCATAAAAGGAAGCCCCCGAAGTACTCTCCGTTATGTGGCCTGCTGTTACTCTTGACAGCCTATTTCTTTCTGATCTATACTATAGCTTTGCTTCTGAAAAAAGTTTTCCTGTTACCTTGCAAATTTGTGTGCATCTTTACATCAATTCCTTGGAGAAGCCAAGAACCTGGAAACACCTGGACCAGATCTAACCACTGGTAACAGAATGGTCCCCAAGCTACCTGTGGGCTCTAGAAAATGTAAAGCCTTTAACTTGAGCCTGGAAGAATTAAACAGAAATCTCTGCCACTTAGCTCCCAAATTATCCAAAAAGTACTTTTTCAAACAGTTATCTATTAAATATCCAAGAATAGTCAGGAACATGAAAACAACAACAAAAAAGAAACATACAGAGAATCCAGAACATTTTAGATGAGTATTACAAAATAAATGTACTTAGTTTGTACAAGTACACATGACAGGATTGAAAATTTCAGGAATTAGTGATTTAAGTGATACAGTTTTTAAAAACCAGTAATAATTATAAATGTGAAAAACAAAACAAAAAAATTGGGACTCCAACAGACTACACATAACAGAATAAAGGTACTACAAGACAGATGAGGAGAAGCAAAGATGAAGGGTAAGTGAGGACATAAGTGCAAGGTGGAAGGCCTAATTCACAGTCAACTGGAGCTCCAGTGGACAAGCAAGAGAATATGGGCAGAAGCACTATTTAAAGAAACAATACCTGAGACTTTTTTTTTCCCCCCTCAGAACTGATAAAAGCATTAACCCACAGAATGAAAATTCCTTGCAATCTCATTCAGGATAAGGAAAAAGAAATAAGTAAATATCCTACACATTGGATATGCCATGTGAAACTGCAGAAAACCAAAATTGGAAAATCTTAAGCGGAATTAGACACAAACTTCTAAAGTTCAATGCTTAGATGGATTTCTTCTTTAACAGTGACAAAAGACAGAAAACAGTGAAATGACCTGGTTGGGGGGGGAAGGGGGGGAACAACATGGGATATATAAAAAAAACTATCAACATAGAAACCTAAATTTCTCTTCCATGTGATTTCCTTCATAAAGATGAATTAAAAGTATTTTCTAATAAAAATGATCACATATAAGGAAGTATATACTGAAGAGAGAGAGAACGTTATGAGATTTAAGAAGGACAAGGAACAAAGAAAATAGAAATACACTCTCTGGAAGAAAGCCATCCCTTATGGAATTCAATGCTTACTGGCTATTACTTGTTTAATCTTTGCCTAGGGCTTTAATGGTAAGATCTTTCAGCTGCCATTGCTCTGGACTCTGTATGTTGTGTTTACCTACACGTCTCTAAGCAGTTCATTTTAGATTCATGTCATTATCTAAAACTCTTATCTCCAAAGTATCAAAGATTACTAAGATGATTCCTCTCTCTAGCTCTTGCTCATCTTTTTCTTATTAAAACTAAACAAACAGATTGATGCTAAGGGATAAAAACCATTTTATGTTTCGTATATGAAGTACTTATCACTTAACCCTGGTGTGGATGGTTAAGAGTACTATCTATTGTTTAATATTTATTATTTTAATTTTATATGTATGAGTGTATTGCCTGCATGTATGTAAATGCACTTGTGTCGTGTAATGCCCGAGGAAGTCAGAACAGTGTGTTGGATCCCCTGGAACTGGAGTTACAGATGATTGTTAGCTGTCACGTAGGTACTGGGACTTGAACCTTGGTCCTCTGCATGAGCACTCAGTGCTCTTAACCACTGAGCCATCTCTCCAGCCCGCTATCATTTTAATACATCTTTCCTTCTGCTGCTTTCTGCATACAAAATCATGTTCAAAATATGGGTGCCAAATGAGAGCACCCAAATTCAAGTCCTAATTCTAAGTTTTACTGGATAGTATACTTAGGCTTTGTGCTTCAGTTTTCTCATTGATAACGGTTACATTTCAAGAAGGGGTATTTCAACAATTACAATGAAGGGAAATACACGCAGAAAAGCACTCTATAAAAGCACTTGGCTCATACTTTCAATATATGTTAAAAGCAAGTTTTTTGAAGGAAAAAAAAGGTATAGAGAATAAGTATCCTAAAAACTATGAATTTTAGAAATTAGTTCTTATGATTCATTAATTTTATAGTAACAATAAACCAACAGCTAATTAATTAAAAATACAGAAAGCACATACTTTACTAAATCTATTCTGTTATTGATGGCAGCCCAATGGAGGAGGGTAACGTTTTCTTTGTCTGGTTGCCGTACATCATAACCTGCTTCTACCAATTCTCGGCAGCGTTCATATATTCCATACCTGGAAAAAAAAGTGCAGCAACGTTACTATCTAAAAACACATCTGAAGCTGAAAAATAACATTTTCAAAAGAAAATAATGCTCTATTTATTTATTTATTTATTTATTCATTCATTCATTCATTTATTTTGAGACAGAATAGTGCAGGTTGGCCTCACATACTGAGCAATTTCCTGCCTCAGTTCCCAAGACACTAGAATTACAGGGTATAACACCACACTTGGCTTAATGCTCTACTTTCATACTTAGAAATTAATTTTTCAAAATACATTATGCTGAAAATATCAGCATTTCAACAGCTTTTACTAATCCTCTTTTGTAACTCTAAAATATCTCATTTATAACAATGTAAAATTTCATGAGGTACAAGAGAAAAACATACCAAAAACAAAATTTCATTTAGCTCCTCAATTTTCTTTATATCACAACTTAATCCACAAAGTTGAGGCAGATTTTTAAAAAATACACACAAGCTCAAAAATTTAAGTAAGTGAAAATAAGTAATAGGAGGCATAACTCATTAAGAGTATCAAGAAAAGCTGTTTCATAGAACCCTATTCTCTATTAATTTAGCTGATATTACTGAAAGCAAATACAAAATGTGTGTGCTGGGGTCCTCTGATTTCCCCACACATGCTAAGGTACATATCTGCAGCAAACACAACAAATAAAAAGCAATAATTTAAAATATATATATATTTTTTTAAATTTTTATGTGGTGTATGAGTGCATTGCCTCCACGTATGTAAGTGCATCTGTGTCGTGCAATGCCTGAGATCAGAAGTGAACACTGGAACCCCTGAAACTGGACTTACAGATGGTTGTTAAATACCACGTAGGTGCTGGGAACCAAACCCAGGTCCTCTGCAAGAGCAGCCAGGGCTCTTAAACTGCTGAGTCATCTCTCCAGCGCCAAAAAGGTAATAAAAATTTTTTAGTGAGCTGTGTGGTGGTGCATGCCTTCAATCCAAGTAGTCAGGAGGCAAAGGCAGGCAGATCTCTAAGAAATCAAAGCCAGCCTGGTCTATATAGAGAATTCCAGGTTAGCCAGTGTAAGGAGTTAAAAATGTTTGTCACACAGTGATGGAAGACAGTAAGGGAGGAGCCACCTCTTGGCATGGGTCTCTGTCTTTTCTTGGATATGAGCATCTTCCTGAGTTTTCCAGTAATCTTTCTCTAATGGACTGAACCAAATCACAGGATTTTTCTATCCCACATTTGAACAGACATGACAATAATACCAAAACCTGGTTAGTTTTTAAGCAGTGATTGTGACCATAAGATGGTAAGTAAACTATGTAAAGTTGATTAAATCTTCTGCTTAATTAATGAATAATACTGGGGGAAAAATCTGTGATTTAGTAAATGTAACATTGTAATTCTATTTGGGAATTATCTATCTTTGTGAATTATATTTTTTCCTAAGCAAGAGAATCATTAAAACGAAATATTGAAATAAATTTAGGATCACATAGCCACATTATTTTAAGAAATGTTAATGAGATTTAAACTAACAAAGATGAAAGGCATGTAATTACAGAATATGGCTGTAATTTATTTTTAACTGGCATGGTTTATACAAGTGTGCTTGGCTCCCTAAGTACCCATAACTTTCAGGAAGAAAAGATGGCATCGCTGAGTGAACTCAAACTCTCCTTTGCTCCTCCTAAAGAGAAGGAGAGAAAAAAAAATCCTGGCAAAGTAACATCAAATGGGTGTGGTGGCTATGCCTGAAATCCTAGCACTCAGGAGAGCTGAGGCAGGAGGATGGTTTGGGCTTCAGAGGCCTACCTGGGCTAGGCAGTGAAACCATGTCTCAAAACAAACATACAACAAACAAATTCTCAGAATCAAGGTTTTAGCATTATGGAAATTAACATTAAAGAGTTAAAGGAAGCCATAACTAAAGAAACACATAAGAACAATGCCTCAACTAATAAACAGCATCAATAAAGAGAAATTACAAAGAGGACTTGCAAAAAAATTATTTTTACATCTATTTATTTATCATTCTGGGTTCTCTGAGACAAACTGTCACTTTGAAGCCCAGGCTGGCCTGTAACTCACTAGGCCTGCAACTCACTATATATTCTTAGGCTGGTGTCAAATTCAAGGCAATCCTCCTGTTTTAGCCTCCCAAATGGTAGGAGTAAAGGTGTGAGCCACCACGCCCAGCTTAAATTTATTTTTAAAAAGAAGTTGTCCAGTCTAGTAAATGAAGAAAACAAACAAACCCTCAGAAACCTGTGGAGCATTATATATTCTAACACTGCAAAGAATTCCACAAAACAGAAGGGTACAGAAAAAAATCCTTGAATGAATAGTAGCCAAAAACATTCCAAATTTGATGAAAACCCAACTGATCTATCCATAAAATCCATTTTAAATACACATATATCCAATAAACTCAATGAATACCTCAAGTAAGATAAATTCAGAAGCTTACACAGAGCGACGTCATACTCAGAATATCAAATGACAAAGACAGAATCTTGAAAGAAAGCAGTGACTAATCATGAAAGAATCTTTTTTGCTCTTTCAGATTAAAAAGTTGGTAGGAGTAAAGGTGTGAGCCACCACGCCCAGCTTAAATTTATTTTTAAAAAGAAGTTGTCCAGTCTAGTAAATGAAGAAAACAAACAAACCCTCAGAAACCTGTGGAGCATTATATATTCTAACACTGCAAAGAATTCCACAAAACAGAAGGGTACAGAAAAAAATCCTTGAATGAATAGTAGCCAAAAACATTCCAAATTTGATGAAAACCCAACTGATCTATCCATAAAATCCATTTTAAATACACATATATCCAATAAACTCAATGAATACCTCAAGTAAGATAAATTCAGAAGCTTACACAGAGCGACGTCATACTCAGAATATCAAATGACAAAGACAGAATCTTGAAAGAAAGCAGTGACTAATCATGAAAGAATCTTTTTTGCTCTTTCAGATTAAAAAGTGTGTGTGTGTGTGTGTGTTCTCACATGAGTACAGGTGCCTGCAGAGGCCACAAGAGGGCATCAGATTCCCTGGAGCTGGCATTACAGGCAGTTGAGAGCTGCACAATGTTCCAGGAACTGAATGTGGGTCCTCTACAAGTTTAACCACTGAGCCATCTTTCCAGGCCCACACAAAAGATTCTTACCAAGTGGTATATAGAATATTCATCAGGTACTGATAAAGGAACTGGTAAATAATAATCACAACAGACATACAGAAAACAAAGAACAAAATGACAGGTGTAAATCCTACCTTATCAGCAATTTCATTAAATATAAAAGCATTAAAGTTTCCAACTAGAAGTGGATTTCTTGAAATTTTGTTACTTTTGAAAGATGAGAACTGGTATTCAATATGTAGGTTGGGGGTAACTCTTTAAATACTTTTTAAATTGTTTAAATAAATCTCTCTAAAAATCAATATGAAACTAATACTTGTTTCTACTTGTTTCTTAGGCTAGCATACAGATAACATTTTTCTTTTTTTAACTTTTAAATATTTCTCAAAGTTTTCTTTGGATGATTATAAAAACTGCACATTAGAAATGACAAGAGAAAATTTATAAATAAATTACAAGCAATAAAACTAATAAAATGAGTGCTGGGCCTTTAATCCCAGCACTCAGGAGGATCTCTGTGAAATCAGGGCCAAGTCTACATAGTGAGTTCCAGGCCAGCTCTGGCTACAGGGAGACCCTGTCTCAAAAGGACAAAAAGGGAGCTCAAAAGCTGGCTCAGAGGTTAAGAGCACTGGCTGCTCTTGCAGGAGGATCCAGGTTCAGTACTCTCATGGTGGCCAACAACTATCCCGAACTCCAGTTCCAGGGAAGTTGATACCCTCTTCTGGCCTCCATGGGCACTGCATGACACAGGTGCACTTACGTACATGCAGGCAAAATACTCATACACATAAAAACAGAAATCCAGCCAGGCATGGTGGCACACGCCTTCAATCCCAGCACTCGGGAGGCAGAGGCAGGTGGATCTCTGTGAGTTCAAGGCCGGCCTGGTCTACATAGTGAGTTCCAGGACAGCTGGGGCTACAGGGAGACCCTGTCTCAAAAAAGAAAAAAAAAAAAAAGTAACTATTCTGTGACTATTAACTACGCAGGGGTACTCATCATCTAATATGCTGAAGGATTCAATACACAGTTTCTCCTCTGTCTACAGATGAAAATACCTGTTATAGTTCAACTACCATATAATTTGCATTATAATATTCTTTTTAAAAAGTATTATTTTTATTTTATGTGTATGAGTGTACCGCCTACATGTATGTAAATGCACCTGTGTCCTGTAATGCCCATGGAGATCAGATTCCTTGGAACTAGAGTTACAGATGGTTGTTAGTCACCATGTGAGTGCTAGAAATTAAAGCCAGGTCCTCTGTAAGAGCAGCCAGTTCCCTTAACTGCTAAGCCATCTCTCCAGTCCAGCATTATAATATCCTTAAGTTTACCATTTCCTTGTCTTATCTCAAAGACCAATATAATCTTAAATTTTAAAGATCATATTTTGAACATCTGTGATAGCTCCCTTAGTTTTATATATAACATATATAAACACGTATAAATATGTTATATATAAAATATTAATTTTGTGTACTCAGTTGAATAGGAGCTAGAATATGGAATATATATCCATGTTTTTAACTCAAAAGTATTTCCAAAGATATTTTTTAGTTTATATTCAATATTCTTAAGGTATAATAAACTTCTAAAGTATCAAAAGCAAACAGACATATCCAATAAACTGATGGGAAACAGTAATATAAGTAGGATACTAACATTTTTACCAAGACAATAGAACAGGTAACTCATATGCATGTTTCACTTAAAATATAAATGTTAAAGAAGAAAACTACAACAAAAACCTTACTGTGTAGCCTTGACTATGTCCCATGTGCTATAATCATCAATATGAGTTTTCCGTCCAAGAGGTTCACCATACCCATGGTTATAATGGCTTTGTGGTTTGATCTCCTGTTAAAAGAATCACACATAAGCAAGAAATTTTAAAAAGCAGAGAAAATATTTCAGTATTTTTACTTTTGTACTATTTGAAAAATATTCACTGTTGAAATAATTATGTTTGCCTTAGTCTGAAATCCATATTCTAGAGAAAAAGCATAGTTAAATAAATCTACCTATTGACATTCTCAAAACTAACAAGCTCTAAGTTAAAAATTAGTAACAAATTAGTAACCTAAATGAACTATCGAGTCTTTATGACACTCCCATTGCACATCAACTTTTTTTTTTTTTTTGGTTTTTCTGAAACAGGTTCTCCCTGTAGCCCCAGCTGGCTTGAAACTCATATGTAGACCAGGCTGGCCCTGAACTCACAGAGATACGCCTGCCTCTGCCTCCTAAGTGCTGGGACTACAGGCATGTGCCACCATGCCCAGCTTATATCAACTTTTCTATTACTCTAGAATAACCATAGCTTCAACATTCTATTTCCCACATAAACTATAATATACTAACAAAGGGAAAGAACTTGCATGTTCAAGTAGAACATAATATATAATGATAGTCTTCTAGTCTCAGATATTAGCTTTCTCTCCCTTTAGGTAAACACAGAACAAGAGCTGAATATAGTTGTGCGCCACATTACACTTCAGGAAACGTACCACACAAACCTGTAGTCCCGTAAGATTATAGTAGAGCTGAAAAATTCTTATCAGCTAGTATTTAGCATGCAGTTTTTCTATGTTTAGATACACAAATACTTAGCATTGTGTGACAACTGCCTACTGCTCAGTAACAAGCCATACAAATTTGCAGCCCAGGGCAAGGCATACTATGTAGCCTAGGTATACAGCTGGCCATACTAAGACAGAGGGACCCAACCTTCCGTATGACCCTAGGGTAGGGACTAAACCTATTAAGCACTGTTCAATGTTGCTAACACTTAAATGCTAGTGAGAATGCTGGTTTTGTGCTGAGCTTTCTCTTATTTAAGATGTAGTTAGTGAACAATGTCAACAGATGGCACTACTCTCAAGGCGTGATCTCACCTTAGCCTACTTACTACATCTTGTTTAATTTTAAGTCAACACCAGGTTCTTTATATACTGTATTCTACTGTGTTCAACTTCACACACTGGTCCTCCTTATCCTATAAATCCAAAAGATCAAATTAATCTCAATCCAAAAGACCAAACTAGCCATTTTCTTCCAACAACAACAACAATGAGTCTGATAACATCAATATAGGAAAATGTTCATCAATCTCTAGATTCTTTAAAAACTGGTTTTCAATTAATTTCCTTCTAGTATTAGTCCATACACATGTAGGTTATTTGTAACATATATAAATTTGGCCTATTTAAAATGGTCATCAGCTGGGCATTGGTGGTGCATGCCTTTAATCTTAGTATAGTACTCAGGAGGCAGAGGCAAGGGGATCTCCCAGGCCAGCCTGATCTACATAGTGAGTTTCAGCCCAGCTGGAGCTACAAGATCTTATCTCAAAAAATTTTTTAAATTAAAAAAAAATCTTCATTAAATGTCTGTAAAAAAATTTCAACTTATTGTTGTGAACTTTTTCCAACGCTGCATTGTGTATTTGCCCAAACATTTACATATTCTGTGGAGTCTGTGATCATAGTACATGTAAGTCATATTCTTCTCTTTTACATTTCCTCATGCCATTACATACTTAATAGCATGAGAACCAGGACTGGAGAGATGGCTCAGTAGTTAAGAACACTGACTGTTCTTGCAGAAGACCCAGGTTCGAATCCCAGCACCCACAAGGCAGCTAACAGCTGTCCGTAACCCCAGTTCTAGGGGATCCAACAGCCTCTTCTGTCCTCCGTGGGCACTGCACGACACAGGTGCACTTACTTACATAACACTCGTACACATAAAAGTAATAAATAAAATATGAATTTTTTTAATTAAAAAAAAAACAGTATGAGAACCCTGCCACAATCATTTATGTACCCTCTTGTGCAAGGGCAGAGCCTGGCATGATACTGGTGGCTCCTTTTTTGAAACTAGTGCTCACTAAATAGCCTAGAGTGACCTGGAACTCAAAATCCTGTAGCCTTAGCCTCCCAAGTGCTAGCATTACAGACACGTGACAGCACCCACAGCTATACTATTTCCTTTAAATGAGATAAAGTAATGGGTGGAATTTTTTTCTTCTATGAAAAAACTTCAGCTCATTTAGCATTTCTTCTTAAATAAGACCAATTTGTAGGAGAGGATATGAGTATTTTTGGCTAAAGGACTTTATTTTTAATCCCACCAACAATATATTTAACATTTTCCCAAGGCACTGTGCATTATTTAAAAATTCTTCCCAATTTAAAACAGTATTTATAGCAGGGCATGGTGGTATATGCCTGCAGGCAGATGTCTCCAAGTTCCAGACCAGCCAGAGTTACAGTGAGACAAGTCTCAAAAAAAAAAAAAAGAAAACAGATAAACAACCCCAAATAAAGTAATATTGACAACTTCAACTTTAAGTACTTTCCTACTGTACTTCATTTTTGAGAATTTTCTGTTCATATATGTCAGAGAATATAAGCTTTATTCTCTCTGGAGTCCTGAGATTCATTTAATATGTTTGGATTAGATGTTTATGTATATTCAAGATTAGATATCAATCATTTTCTTACTAAAAATTTCTAAAATTGCTGGTTCATGGCTTCAATATGGTTCAGACATTGTACAATTAACAGTTACACATGTTGATCTTGTCCTTGGGCTTTTCTGGTCTTTCTTTGTATTTAAATGCAACTGCGATCAGTGCTGTTTACCAAATATTCCCAGTTCTCTTCTCAGTCACATGGTAAGACTGTAGAACCCTGACCATCTGAAAGACCTGTGTTGAAGTGACAGGCTGGGTTTTTTTTTGTTTTTATTTTATGTGTATGATTGTTTTGCCTGCACTTCTGTAAATTCATCTGTGTTGTGTAATGCCCACGGAGGCCAGAAGAGGGCATCGGATCCTCTGGAAAGTTTGGTACACAATGTTTTGGGACATAGAGGATACATGTCCCGCTCTCACTTTCTCAGTTACAGACACTGGCAATCCTTCTAGAGAGTCATTCAGAGTCCCAAAGCTGCCACTACTTGACCATATGCATGTATAGCATGAATTATTGTGATTACTACTTCTACCTATCTTTGTGATCTAACACCTTTGTAACTCTAAGTAAACCCTTTTGGAATGTATGAACAGATTCCCTAGCTTCCACCAACCCAAAAGCTAAGAATTTCATTAGATAGCATCTGAGGCCTAAAGTAGCTATTTCAATGATTTGCTGAACCCATGCGCCCGATTCTTCCACCAACGTATTTGAAGTTTATGGACTTGTCTTCCAATAAAAACTCCATGAAACTGTTAGCATGTCAGAACATGGTATCTGGAGTGACCTAAATCTTTGTTCCCAGGTCATGATCATTTATATTTGGATCTAGAATAAACTATCTCTTAGCATTTTCCAGGTAAGAGCTGTGTTTTTGACTTTGATATTTATTATCATCCTCTTTTTCCCCCCCCTCATTAAACTTGTTTTAATGGGTCTCAAAATTCTGTGACAGATTTTTGGTCAAGTTGTTTCCATTAAAAAGTACTGATTTTAAAAACTAGTAACTTATAACCATGCACGGTGGCGCATGCCTGTAGTCCCAGCACTTGGGAGGCAGAGGCAGGCGGATCTCTGTGAGCTCAAGGCCAGCCTGATCTACTTAGTGAGTTCCAGGCCAGCTGGGGCTACAGGGAGACCGTCTCAAAAAGACCAAAAACAAAACA